ATCAATTGTCTTCATAGAACTCAGAAAAACATTAAGTGACAAACTCATTAGTCCACTGGGGAGTTGCTCTTTTATGAAAAGTGTATCTGTTGATTCATATTCCAACTGCACACATGACTTTTGTCACTAATTGAGAGGCTAGAAGTTATAATTAAATCCAAGTTAATGTAGCTTTGCAATTACATCACACCCTCATGGCAGATTACTGATCATAATTTAAATTAGTTGCATGTTAGAATTCCTATCCTGTTTATGCTTAGGGAAAAAAAAAGAGCTGTCTGACTCATGCACAGGTATTTTTTAAGAAAAAAGAAAAAAAAAGACCATAAGATTAAATTCTTGGCTTTATAATCAAACTCTTTTCCAACATATTTTAAATGAAAAGATACTAATGCTTAATTCGAACCTACTTTACTTTGATTAATTAAAAACAACAGAAAATAAAACAATATCAAAGACAATTGATGTCTGTTGAGATAATCTCTAAATATAAACACTCTGTGGCATTTTCAGAAAAGGCTTTAAATACATATCAGAGTGGGTGAGATAAACACTGCAAAATAGGATAGCATCTGCCTTTTACATTTCTTTGAGGATTAGGGATAAGCCATGGCAGGTGCCTGCCACATGGAAGGGAGCAGAACAGTGTAGCATTTAAGAGAATACAGTTTGCAATGAGAATGCTCAAATTTTGGCTTTGCCATTTCCTACTATTTTTTTCCCTACTATTTTATCCTTGATGAGTTATTAACATTCCCTGAACTTCATGGTGAAATGAGAACATAAGCCATACAGATTCAATATGATGATGCATGGAAAGAAGGGGAATGCAGTGCCTCATATGAAGCCTACTGTTCCTTCTGAAGAGTTAAAAATGATAACTATATTACATTATGTTATAAACATGCTTAATGTGCTGTCATCAATAACATGATCAGAAATGCTATTCATATCAAGCAAGCAGTACGATGTTAGGAAAACAGATCAGAATTTAGATTCAGGAATGACGATTCAGAGAGCAGGTGCTTCCATTTAAATCAAGGCACTGTATACCTTTTACATCAGACATACTGCATCTCTGGATTAGCTGGCCTGCTTTGGGAAGGCAGAATGGAGATATGGAGTCCAGGCGTTGTAGCAGAAATGATATAGCAAAATGGGGGATGGACATAAAAGATTAAGAATTAGAGGAATCAAACAAGCTGACCCAGCAGCTAACTCTAAAGGGGCGGAGTCTGGACCTGCCAGCCATCAAGTATTATTTGGGGGAGTTGAAGTACCTTGGATGCCCTTACATCTGCACCAGTTCTAGTCCTGGACTTGCTGGGGTCCCTCACCTGCCATCACACAGAAATCTACAGGTGCAAATACAGAACCTTGCAAATGGTAAAAAAAAAGAAAGAATGCATTAACAAGAATGTTTTAAGAGGAAAAAGAGCAGGCCCAAGTTCTCCTGGCAAAGAACTGAAGTAGCAAAATAAGAGTGATAAGTGGAAGGCAGGATTTCACACCAACTTAGTAAGTCTGAGAAATAAGGTAAATTAAATTAACATTTTTTTTACTATCTTCAAATTATGGCTTAAGAGATTCTTCTGGACCTTAAAAAAATTTTTTTTAACCATCGGAGAGTACATGAAACAGACCATCAGAGTCAGTGCTATGTCCTGAGTTTTGGTTTTGACCCAAAAGATACTGAAAATGCCCTTGACCTCACTGAAGTAGAGATCAAGGATTTGGAAGTTTTGCCTAAAGGTCTGAAATTGGCTAAAGCTTCTTCCTTGAAGGTTTAACTTTTATGTTTTTAAACTTCAAATCTACTATATCCATGAGCCCTTCCTAAGCAAAGGACACATCAATAAAGTGCATGCTTCCCTCCAAGGCAATACATCTCAAAGTGGAAGATGTCTTTAGAAGTCATATTGGGTCACACGGTCAATCCATAGGAAGTCATTTCAAATATGAAATATTTTTTAAATTACTCATGTACACAACTGTGAACAAGGGATATATCATGATTCTTTCTGCAGAACACAGCTTTCCTTGACACTCTCCTCTCCTCACTGAACCTCAAATTACACTCTCTGGGTAAAAAATATCAATGTTATGCTTATACAAATTACACAAACACACACACATATTCACAAAGTTATGTTTTGTTTTTTTATATTTACAAAAAAATTACATGCTATCCATTAGTCTGAAATCTGAGTGAATACATTTTCCATGTATTGATTAAAAGAAGGAAAATTGAAAGCCACTTTTTTTTTCCAAATAGCAATTTCATCAAATAATAAGAATGAAACTCTTTTTTCTGCACTTAATAATTTTATCAAACACAATTGCACATGCTGACCTCCAGGTCAACACATATTAATTGAATCCACCTTTACAATGGCAGTATAATATTCCACAGCATGCATGAATCATATATTAATGATTTTCCTATTAACAAATTTACTAACTGTTTTGGTCTTTCCCCTACAAAGGATGTTATATTAAATAGGCTTGAACACAGATCTTTACATACACTTTTACTTTTACAGCACAAATATTGAAAACTGAAAGGACCGTTGTTCAAATACATTGAAGACTACCAGCTTCTCCCACAGAGAAGCTGCTCCCCCACAGAACAGGAGGAACAGGGATGTTTTTGGTGCTCTGTCATGCTCAATTTACACTTTTTGCTTATCACATACAAAGGCACCTGTGGGGAACACTGAGACAAACAGAGCAAATTTTCTTCTGAAGCTAGAACTCTCTCTCATTGTCACCATTTTCCACAGGGAACAGAGACTTGAGAGTGACTCTTCAGTCATGGCATGCACAGAAGAGATATTTCCCTTTCTCCACCTTGATACACCTTCTCACACCTTCTATCTCCCTGCTCTCATTTGTGAACCTTAGCTCATTCAAAAGGTGGCAATCAACTAACTTACATGACCTTTCAAGGTTTTACTGGTCCCTTATTCAGGTTCTCTGGCATAAATGAGAGCTAATCACTGATTTATGAGCAAAACTCCTTCTTCCATAAAGAGTTAGAGGCCAAGAAGATCAACTATACTTCAATTAAAAAAATTAAGTTAATATATCTCTCACACACACATCAAGAAAAGATAAGTATAAGACAGTATGATACATTCTTATGAATAAATGAATGAATAAGATGTAATGGAAGCCCAAAGAATGGTGTGAATCATTCAGTTTGGGATAGAGGAGAGGGAAAGAAGCAATTATGAGAGAAATCTTCACTGAGAAGGTAGTATTTAAGCTGAGGTTGAAAGACAAATATTTGTATTTGTCTTGGGCTGTGATGGGACTCCATACAGAATGAACAAAAATAACAGAAGCAGTAAGAAAACAGATGCTTTGGAGTTTTGGGGGGACTTGTATACCTTAGGTGGTGGTCCTCTAACTTTAATGTGCCTAAGAAGAACCTAGGAAGTTGCTTAAAAAAATGCAGATTTCTGGGCACCCATCTTTCCAATATTTTTATGTGATTTCCAGAAATCTGCATAGAAAACAAAACCATTCACACTTTGAAATATACTCACTGAGGGTGTGCCTGGGGAGTGACATGAAATAACATTGTAATAGGACTGAAGGGAATACAAACTAATGTTTCAGGTGGGTGACAGTGACAGTGTGAAACCCTGAGAGATTGTGTCAGAAATGATGGCAGGTGTTTGAATTTTGTTTTGAGAGACAATGGCTTGACAATGCAGCCTTTACACGAGCAAAAAAACCCACTCTTCGGCAGAGAATGTTTGTTGAATGGCTAAATGAATGAGTGTGGACAGAAGTCTGAGAACATCAACTGAAAGCTGCCTGGACTGTGAGTCCTGCGTGCTTTAACCTGGCTGTGAGGAAAACAGTTTGAGAAAAGCCTTCCTTAAACCACTAGTTCAAGCCTTCCAAACGCTGTCCTGATGCTATGTCCAGTTGATAGATTCATGCATTTTAATGCAGGTTTACAAACAAGGCAGATGTGATTACCCTGATCAACCATGTAAGCATGTAACACTGTTGTGTTGCCAAACCCGGATACTGGCCCTTGGAGCTAAGATCTGGGAGGACAGAACACGCTCTTACATAACTTCCTAGCTCCTCAGTGATAGGGCCTGTGATTAATGCTACATGACGGGCTTTGAACTTTCTGTTCAGATAGACTCGCTTGCCTTTCAGAGCTCCTAGCAAGAGAAAATGTGTGACCCGCAGATTTCACTCTGAATAACGATCATCCAAGTCGGCAACACTAACAAAGCTCTGTGGCCCCGTGGGTAGGTTTTCTGCGCCTTAATCCTCGGCCAATAGATAAGCTGCCCTAGGACTATCAAGTTATTTTTTAAGGGGACAGAATATGCGAGCAATACAATTTCCTAAAACCCAGGCGCTGAAGAAAGCTCCAGAGAAGGCTGGGAGGTTCCAGGAGAAATCAGAAAAGCCCTCGAGAGCGGAGAGAGTAGAGAAACTCTGAGACAGGAGGAAGAAGTCCTGCTTTCGACGCTACTATCTTTCATAGCTTCTCGGCTTCCCTCTCGCTGGAGCGTGGATCACAGCGCTTCCAGTATCCCAGGCGGGGCGAAGAGCTGCTGCCGCGCTCACCAACTTTCCCAGCTTGGCCAAGCCCTCTCTGCTACTTCGCTCTGCCCCAGGTCCCTCCTTTCACGCCCTCAGCCCGCAAAATGCAGGTGAGCAGCAGAGCCCAACGACAGCGCCTGCGTCTGCGCTCCTCCAGGTCTCCCCAGGAGGCTTCTCTCCTCAGCCCCTGCGCGCCTGAGAGACGACACCTCGTCTAAGCGCCTGCAAAAATTCGTCCACGCTCCCGCCTCCAAGCCGGATCCCTCCATCCTGTCCCCGCCATCCTGGAATGGCACCTGAGGAGTGGGGAGGATTGAAGGAAGCGGCTGGCCTCCCAGGCTTGGAGCAGAACCGAAGCGAGAGCACCCCACCCGACCTCTCCTCACCTGCGGGTTCCTCCCCGCACACAGCCCGCTACTCACCAGTTCTAGGGCTCGCAGGAAGGCAAGGGGCTCCTTCAGCGCCCGGAAGGTACCTGCTGAGGCCAGCTGTGGACCAAGAAGGCGAGACAGAGAGAGAAAGAGCGAGAGAGAGCATGAGGAAGGGGCTGGGGCACGCGGCATCCAGACCTCAGGGGTCGCGCGGCATCCCCCGCGCTGCCCAGTCAGTCCTACCTGGCTCATGGGATCCATAGCTCGCCTCGCCCCGGCTTCTCACCCAGCGGCGCCTTGGAAAATGAAGTTCGAGGGCCACCGCGGTCCTCGGTCCCGGGACCCAGGGCCAGAAGCCCCTTTTCGGAAAGGGCGCGGGGAGCGAGGCGGTGGAGCGCGGAGTGCCCCGAGCGGGCGCGCAGAGGCTGGGTTCTGGAAGCCTGCGCGTGCGGGCGCGGCGTGCACGGCCGGCGAGGGTGGGAGGGGCCGGCGGGGAGGGGGCGCGGGGGCGCGGCGGAGGCGGGGAGGGGAGCCCGCCCCGCGGCCCGGGGGGCGCTGCGATTGGCCAGCTGCGGGGGCGAGGGCGACAGGGTGGGCGAGGCCAAACCGCGACCTTGGAGTCGCGTCGCCGCGGGCGCGCCCTGTACCCTTAGGCTCCAGGGCAACTTTGGGGCTGTAGGTTTGGAAGAAGCCGGCTGGCACCCTCAGCAGGATGGTCCCCCGCCTGAAGACCTGGGTTCCAGGTAAGAAGCAGGCAACCCACACCGTAAGTGAAGAGGTGTGTGCGTTCTGGAAACTTCTGGACACCAGAGACAGACCGCTGACCTGGTCATGCCCAGGAGCCTTCATGGAATGTTCTTCGCGTGGCCCAGCAGTGCCAGGTGGTGGGAGAGATGTAAGAACAGGGTGAATACTGCCCATTCTCTCAGGAATAAGCGGGGGGCCAGGTCAAGGCGAAGGGGGCTGGCGGGGAGACTGGAAATGCATGAATCATAACAATATGGGGCAGTATGCCGGGCAGGTAATCCCGTGGCCACTGTGTCAGGTCTGGAGCAAATTACTACGCCTGTAATTTTGAAGTGGAAAAAAAGAAAAAAGAAAAAAAAAAGTAGAAAATAGATTTCGTCAGACTGAATTATACAAGGTAACATAGCTCATGAGATGCTAAACAGGGATTGGAATTCAAGTTTCTGTAAAACTCATGCTGTTTCAACTGAGATCATCTGCCTAAAATACAGTCCTCAAATTAAGCTCCCCAAATCCATCATAAATAGGACTGAGTGCTCCCCATCTCACCTCAGACACTCTTCCTCCCTTAGTGTGCTGAGCCGGCCAACAATAACAACAACAACAACAAAACAGTTGAGTTCTTTCAGAAGCTGTGTTATAGGCTTGATAAACATTTCATTAAGTAGTCACAAAACCCCCATGGTTTAGTAGTAATAGAACTATCAGTAGTAGTTAGCAGTAGTAACTACTATTGTTCTCATTTTAGAGATGAGGAAATTGAGACCCATGAGGGGAGTGTGGAGAATGAAGCCAGAGTTTAATTCAAAATAGAAAAGGAGACTTGCCTGATAGCCCAGTGGTTAAGACTCTGCCCTTCCACTGCCATGGGCCATGGGTTAGATCCTTAGTGAGATCCCTAGGGGCCCAAAATTTTTTTTCAGTTAAAAAAAAAAATAGGAGGAGTCTTTAGCACTCTGAGGCTTTCCACCCTGTAGGTGATATGTCACCTTCCTTCTCACTCCATTTGGACTCGATTCCATGTATCAAGTGGTCTCCCAGCAACACAGATAGCCCATCTGTTTACTACAAAGATTTGCCAAAAAGGTTTGGAGTTGGGGTGGGGGAAAGAAGGAGGAAGAGTAATTAATTTTCAGGAGTTGAGGAGAAAGATGGAAATGAATAGCTTGAAGTCTGAGAAGGGGAGGCGGCAGACCAAAACTGGGTAAAAAAGAGTGGCCAGGGTAGGTGACCCCTACCCATGGATTTTGTTGGAGAAAAACTAGAAAGTTAGTGAGTCAGAACTCAAGAGGGCTAGTTGCACCATCTGCAGCCAGCCAGTTTTGTTCCTACTGCTCTTCCTACATGAAGATAGAGTCTAAAACAATTAGAAACAAGTTATTTCAAAAATAAGTGGTTATGCAACTGCAGATATTCAGCTTGGGTCCTACAGTTTTTGTATATGATTTTGTGTGTGAGGTTACTTAACCTCCTCAAGACCTCTGGTTTTTAAAAATCTGTCAAGTGGAGCCAACGATGTCAATTTAACTGGTTGTTTTGAGGACTTTATGAGATTTTGTAGGTATATCTTGAGCAGAGTCTGGCACATCATAATATCTCCAAGCGTATTAGTTTCATTTCCAACTGCTAACACTGTTGCAGAAACAAAGATGAGGCCTCTGAGGCCCACTTAAGAGGGTGGTCGATGGTGGCACCATCTTGGTGCTCTCTGCAGTATTCCTCCACTATGTATCCTTGCCCTTTTGAACTCGGGAGTTGCCATGTTACTTGTTTTGGCCAATGATTGTGGGCAGAAGTTATGACTGCTTTTCTAAGCAGAAATTATAAGAACCCCTTCATGACTTGCCATGTTTTTAATTTCCTTCTACCATGATGAATCTGATGTATTCATTGCAAGGAGACTATTCTCACAAGCTGGGTCTTGGCATAAGATTGATGTAGAGCAGAGCTGCAGTCAGACCTTGATGGGCATGGATTTGAGCAAGAAAGGCATTAAGAGTTGCAAGCAATTTAGATATTGAAGTCTGTTGTTACTACTAATACAATACAGGGTTAATTATGCTGATTGAGTGCACACTAGTGTGTGCACAGCTAGGAAGTAGCTGAACCAAGATTCCATCCTGTATGACTTCATTGTCCTTGCATCATTGCTCTTTCCATCATAGTCAAGTAGCTTATGAGGTATAACACCTCCTGCATATGTTTAATAATGATGATAATTATCATAATAGCTTATACTAACGCAGTTCTCACTACATGCCAGCCACTGTGCTAAGTGCTTTAAATACCTCATCTAGCATCACTGCCATCCCCTTTTGTGGGTAATATATCCAGGTTAGAAAATCATATAAACATGTATATCTCTTTAGACAGAGAGATTGATTTATTTAAAATACCACCCACTTGCATTTCATTTGAGCTGAGAACTTGGCGAAGATGAAGTGTGATCACTGAGCCTATTCCCCCAGGCCTCTCTTCACAACCAACATTCCTCCTTGCTAATACGGTGGCAAATTTTCCAAGTCCTCCAAACACCATGTGAAGGAAACCAGAATCATGGCAAATGGCAATGTAGTCGCTTAGACAATTGCATATTGTCAGAGGATGCTTCTCACGTTCCAGAAATGGATGAGCTGCCAACAGCTGCATCACCAAAATAACCCTGAGTTCTATATCCTATTTACAGTGTTAAATACTTTGTAAACTTTGGGGCTAGAACCTCTACATTCAGATATGGAAATAACATTAGGTTCCTTAAAGAACTGGATTGGGAGCAATAGGAGAGATGATAAAAGACTGCCACAGTAGTCAGTGACTGAGAGTGACCCCTTCTCCTCTGCCCCTTGATGGTGAAAAATAATTTCCCTTTTACTGTAACAAATCTCTTGAAATGATTCAACAATCCTGTTAACTTGGTGGAGAATACATGATCCATTTTAGTGGCTTATATTGATTATATTAGGACTTTCCAGGTGGCACTAGATTAAAGAACTCATCTGCCAGTGCAGGAGACATGAGACCCAGGTGTGATCCGTGGGTCAGGAAGATCCCTTGGAGGAGGGCATGGCAACCCAGTCCAGTATTCTTGTCTGGAGAATCCCATGGACAGAGGAACCTGGAGGGCTACAGTCCATAGGGTTGCAGAGTTGGACATAACTGAAGCAACTTAGCAGTCAGTATTGATTGTACAAATCAAATAGCTTCCAAATTCTTCTTTTGTTTTCATCTAGGAACCTATAGTTATGAAGATTTCCTTTGACATGGCAAAACAATTCATTGCTGCAGTAGTTTTGATAAAGGGCATTGTGGGCCCTTCCCTCCCCCAGGAGACATTTAGCAATAATTGGAGACATTTGAAGTTGTCACAGCTAGGGAGGGGAGTTGCTACTGGCACCTCCTGGCATCTAGAGGGTAGAGGCCAAGGATGTTGTTCAACATCCTTCAATGCAGAAGACAGCTGCCTGCAACAAAGAATCAAACAAAATGTCAGTAGTTGCCAAGGTTGAGAAACCTTGACTTATTCACTGGACAAGTAAGGACTGCCTGCCAACATGTGTTATTATTTCTATGTCAGCTGCAAACAGCTTGACAAAATCCCTGCCTTCACAGGGCTTACCTTGTAGTGAGATATATCATAAACCCAGTTTGAGCAAGCTCAGTATTTGATAAGACAAGCAAATAAAATTAAAAAAAATTTTTTTTGAATCTCAAAGAGAGTGAATTTTGAATCAAAAACTACAAAAAACCAAAACAAACCCCTACAAAGTACCAAACTTCTGTAGATGGACTTGAGTTATTCAGGCAAATTAAATCTCGTACTCAGGGAATAACATACCTGGGTTTCATCATTCTATGTCTCTGGCAAAAAAGAAAAATTAATTTAAAATTTTATCCATAGCAACTTAATGCAGGAGGAAATACCATGTTTTATGATATTTAAAATACTAGAAATAAGTAATGTATGGAAGTCATTCAGTTTGTTATATATTTCACCCTCTGCTCGAGCTGCTAACCTGATCTTTCCAAATCTTTTTTTAACTAGTGAGAGTGAAAGCAAAAGCCAATAGCATGTCTGTGTAACATTTGTTGGTGTGTTTGGTTTGCATAGAGTCACTGGTACACAGGACAGGAGACAGTATGGAAACATTTTCAAGATCTCTAATTTTATAATAAATATAGGATTATACCTCCACACAATGATCAGGTAAAACCATATTTACTTACTTATGTCTCAGTCTTAAATGGCTGCAATAACATCTAATGATGTGTGTGTTTCTATTTGGCTTAAAGTTTCATGACAATATAAGATTACATAGGCTTCCTATGGAATTTTTAGCTTTCCAATGGAGTCATTCTTAATTAACAATAAG